TGCACCGACTCGTCCCGGAAATGCAGCTGGATGTAGCACATCCAACTCCATGGAGGTGTCTTTCTTTAGACCCCCCAAAATGGCAACGGTTTCCCAAGTTTCCTTTAAGGCTTCTCTTCAAAAGCACTCACAAAAAGGGTATTAAAAAGATACATCCAGTGGGCTCCGTAGTTGATTCTGATCAGGATGCGTCCCCTTTTGCTGGGGTTTTAGACCGCTTTTGGAGTGGAGGACCCCCCCTATTAACAGAATGAGTTCTAATTAGATCCGGGGTCAACTTCATTACCAGCGAAAACCTGGGGTGGATGAATCCAGGTACAACCTTACCCAAAAACTCACCCCACCACCCAGGAACACCGGGTGGTTCCCATTCGGGGTGGCGCACAGTGAAGCCAGAAGCCAGACAATTCCTCAAGAGTTCCACAAGTGTTGGGATTGGGGGACCATCGGTGGCTCCTGGGATTTGTACGTTAAACGCCAGCCAAGAGAAAGCTCAGCAAACATCTGTGATTTACATGATAGCTCTGACCGACGAGACCGACCCTGCCGCCCGCCTCTCAGGGCGGCATCCAGGAACTCTGCGAAGACCCGCACCGCCCAGCGCCAGCGAGCTCCGCAGGCGCCCATGGCCGCGCTGAAGAGCACCGCCTCGCGGCTTTTTGGCACCCGAAACGGCGGGCCCACATCAAAGGAGCGATCCAACGGGGTTGCCTCAAGTCTTTGAAGTGCCTTTAAACAACACAAAAAAAGGTACTCCTCAAAAACATACCTATCTATCTATATATGTTAGTGTGTATATACATATATATATAGAGTATATATATATATACATACAGAGAGAGAGAGAGAGAGAGAGAGACAAACACGCACGCACACACCCATATCACTCATCCGGTCGGGCTGCATTGGCCAGGGACTTGTCCCGCGCATCTGCGAGCAGGGCCAAGGCCGGCTGCCATTTTTTGCACTTGCTGATGGCCTTGCCATACCTGGCGGAAATCAGCGAGCGGGAGGGGAGTCCCTTTTGGCCCCCCTGAAAAGCTGAAAAGCTTTAAACAAAAGTGCCAACAAAAAGACACACCCATGTTGGATACTGTGAATGAGTGATGGATAAACTTCGCTTTGCACCAGTTGGAAGCTGGGGTATCCCAAGAGGCTTCCGTATTTGGCCTCTCGTGGGCCTGTTGAAGACTTTCTGGGACAGCAATTCAAGGTTGGAGGACGTGTCTACGTGGACATGTGTCCGGGTCAAAAGGCGAGACCGTTCACCGGGGACACCAACTGGCAGATCCTTGAGCACCCTTCTGGCCGAACTGGTGAGCCAAATGGCACGAGGTCCCCTGCCATATGAGCAGATTCCACAGACGGGAGACAGCACACGAGATCTTTGATCTGGGTGTGTCGGTTTGGGAGGAACCTGTTTTCGGTTGGTTTTTAAAAAAGGAGACCAACACAAAAACCACCTGTTTGGAGGGTCCCCTATTTTAGACAAACCCCTTTGTCGAATCACCACCCGGGCGTGGGGTTTGGCATCCAAACCAGGGTCTGTGACAGTCGCGAGGGCACGTAAGCCAACGTGACATCTCCAAAAGATCAACGGTCCAACCTGAACGCTATGGTTACGAAACACTTTCTGCTTTTTTGGCAGCCCTGCTAAAAATGAACAGAACCAAAAAGAAAAAACAACTAAACACATACGAACAACAATGAAGTCAAGCCCAGGGGGGGGGGGGGGGGCGGGCTGTTCAGTCGTGGCTGTCCAATTAGCACGCCCAAGAATTCCGCGCCATTCACACTTGCTCCCACACCCATTCAGCTGGAGGTGAGGGGGGACCAATCTAGAGGCGCCTGACCCATCCCTGCAGAGAAGCAACCACCTGGGGAATTCCCGCCGATGCTCCGGGAATTCTCCGATCCTCCTTCCAGGTCTCACAAACCATTCGCCAGCTGCCTGGTGACCCTGGTAGAAAAGGGGAAACCTACTTTGGACTTGCCCGTTTTTAGTGGGCAGCTCACCAAAGCGAGCCCCGTTTTTTGACCAACAAACGCGTTTTCAGCCCATTAACCAAGAGGCTAAAATGGAGGTAAAAACAGGCCTGACGTTGCAAAAGGACAAGGGTGCTCTGTAAAAGTTGTTTGAACAACCAACCCTGGTTCTCTTAGGGAAACCAACAGAAGGCTGTTTAAGCAATGGCGATTTGATGTGTCGTCTCAAAACAAGGGACCCCCTTAAGATTCATGGTTTGCTTTCATATCCCTTGCAGGCAACTCAAAAGGGGCACCCTCAAAAAGACCCAGGTGAAGAAACACAATGGGAATCCAAGTTGCCAAAGCTGCGTCTGGCGCGGCGCCGGCACCTAGGGTGGCTTACCGACCAGGTTTGAGTGCTTGCAGCACAGCTTAGATGTTCTGCTTGCAAAATGGCCGCCTTGAAGGGGCAAAGGATGGCAAAGGATGGGCGGGATAACATTGACTTGTTCCTTTGGATCTGTCTCACCTTCAGAAGAGTTGGAAACTTGTAGCTGGCGTCTCAGCGAAGAACATGTTTGATTGCCAAATGGCTCTGTCTCAAAATAGGGGAACCCCTAAAATGGTGGGTCGTCTTTTGGTTTCCCTTTACATCTTAAGTTTTAGGCCAAACTGAAAAGGGTACCCTCACAAAGCCGCACACACAAATAAACTGAGCAAACAACAAGCTGCCAGCAGCCAGCACCCGGCAAGACAGCCCGGAAAAGGCAACTGTCTAGCAAAAGCACAAGCGCGCACAGAAAGCACTCGTAGCGGACTGATTCAGGACGAAGGCTGAAGGTCGGCGGTTGAATCCTGAACCACAAACCAGTGGGCACAAAGCAGGGCCTCCTGGTTCCCATTGGGTCCAAAAACCGGACACAACCTCAGTTGTTCAGTGACCCTGGAAAAACAGGGAACCCTTTTTTGGGCTTGGACCATTTTAGTGGGGCAGCCACCCAAAAAAAAGTTCCTTTGGACCTGTCTCACCTTCAAATGACTTGGACACTTGCAGCTGGCGAAGCGCAACGAAAAACATGCTTGATTGCCAAGTGGCTCCGTATCAAAAACAGGGAACCCCTAAAATGGTGGGTTTTCCTTTGGTGTCCCTTTGACGTCCTCAACTTTCATCCTTCCGTTTGACATCCCAAAAAAAACCCATGGCGCTTACTTTACCAAACCCAGAAGTGCGCAACTCTGCTCGCAAGACTATCCCTCTTTCGGGAAAGGGTTAAAAAACGACATCCCCAAAAAAGCCCATGGCGCTTACTTTACCAAACCCAGAAGTGCGCAGCTGTCTTCACAAGACTATCCCTCTTTCGGGAAAGGGTTAAACAACGACATCCCAAAAAAGCCCATGGCGCTTACTTTACCAAACCCAGAAGTGCGCAGCTGTCTTCGCAAGACTATCCCTCTTTCGGGAAAGGGTTAAAAAACGACATCCCAAAAAAAGCCCATGGCGCTTGCTTTACCAAACCCAGAAGTGCGCAGCTGTCTTCGCAAGACTATCCCTCTTTCGGGAAAGGGTTAAAAAACGACATCCCAAAAAAGCCCATGGCGCTTACTTTACCAAACCCAGAAGTGCGCAGCTGTCTTCGCAAGACTATCCCTCTTGCGGGAAAGGGTTAAAAAACGACATCCCCAAAAAAGCCCATGGCGCTTACTTTACCAAACCCAGAAGTGCGCAACTCTGGTCGCAAGACTATCCCTCTTTCGGGAAAGGGTTAAAAAACGACATCCCCAAACAAGCCCATGGCGCTTACTTTACCAAACCTGGCAGTGCGCCACTGTGTTCCAAAGACTTCCTCTTGGGAAAGGGGTTTAAAAACGACGGGGCAAATAGAAACGGGGGAGCCTTCTGAAGGGTCAACGGCTTGACCAGAGGTCGCCCCAAGCTGAGGCATCGGCTACATGGCGCATGAACCGTGGCAACTTTGGGCCCGGAAACACTCGGCCGGCGAGGAAACATGCAGAATCCCTTGGTTTGTTTGGTGGATAACTCAGACAGTCCCAACCCCCCCCCAAATGAACCAGAGTGCTAGCTGGACATTTGACCAAGCCTCGTGTTATCCTCCCACGCGGACATGAAACCGACACGCGGTCCCCGAAAAACGAACTTCCACCTCCGGTCAGGTTTGAAAATGATTCTGTTCCATATTGAGTCTACCCTAAACTGTAAACTAGTTTTGGAGGAGACCCCAGGTTAGTTAGTGAGAGGGTGCGCCAAGAGAGATGCAGTCTTTCAATGTTGGGAGCTTGTGGCAGGGAGATGGTGGAAAGTTGTTTATTTTACTTTATTTTCTAAGAAACAAAGAAGAAACAACACAGGGGTGTTTCTGCGCAAACTCTACAATCTATAGCCGACCTCGTACATGTTACCCTTGATGCCCTTGCTACAGGCCACGTCCTCAGGGAAGAGCCGCCCAGGAGGAAAAGGCGGCCTTGGAAACACATCGGGCGTGAGCAGCAATTCGGTTCCACGCAACCTGGCGGAGGCTACTGCGTTTACTGGTCCTGGAGGCCTCCTGAGTGGATGGGCCAAAAAAGAGTGAAACTTTTCTGAACTAAAATTGTGTTCCCAAAAGTATAAAGTCCAGAAACTCAGGAAGCGAGAATAGAAACCTCCGGCATACTTTTGCGTTTGTGTTCTCTGCTCATGTTTTTGTGTTTTGATTGTTTGTTTTTGTTATTATTCTCTTTTTCCTTTTGTGACAGGCAACCGGACATTTTTCCATCTCAGGAGCTGGTTTGAGCGCCCAGCTCGGGCCAATCTCTTTTATGTGCGAAGGTTCTGATTGCCCGGGACAATTTTCGTTTGAGATTTGGGAGAGTCAGACGAGTGTAAATCAAAATTAGCCACTCCTGTTGATCCCACCATCTTCGTTTAAGCAACACAGGAACTGGTATCCCCTGAACTTCAAGTACTGAGGTTTTGGTGGTGACTCAGATGAGTTTCAGAAGCCAAACTTAGGCATAGAGGGTATACCCACAAGCCAAAGCTGACCTAGAAACATTGGCAATATAACACACATGACCCTAAACAAGTGAGCGATCGAGCATTCTTTGCCTTGATGGGTGCAGCTTCGAGGTCAGAGTTCCTTTATTCTTCCCAACAACTTCCACCACTAGAAAGGGGACCTTTGATACCCGAAGGGTATCAAGGCAGTAAGGATTGTCCTTGAACATCCCTCTCCAAGCATGTAGGCCTGTCGGAACAGGCGCTAAAGCAGCTTCCTACCAAACAAATGCATGTTTTTCTCGTGTCCGTCTAAGTCTAAGTGTAGTGCAAGTGTGCGTGCGTGTTTGCGTGTTTGCGTGTTTGCGTGTTTGCGTGTGTGTGTGTGTGTGTGTGTGTGTGTGTGTGTGTGGGCGCGCGCGCGCAGCCAACCCCGAAGTCTGTTCATTCCGGCACTCGCGGATTTTGGCCGCCGCAAGGCGCGCTCAACGAGCGCCTTTGGCGCACACTCTGCGACTCTCAGGGCGACTGGCGAACGGCGGACAACTCCCGAGCGCCCTCCTCGAATGCGGCCCCGGGCGGGTTTGGTGGGGTTGTTCGGGCTGTTTGGCTTGGGGTAATAATGTTGACTCCGGAGTAACAGACCCCTGTTTGTCAATATGGGGGTGTCCCTGGTTTTAGTGGGGATTTATCACTTTTAAAGGGGAACACCACCATATTAATAAACAGGGGTTTATTAATCCGGGGTCAACATTCTGCCCGAGGAAAACAAATCGACTGACCAAAGTTCCGCGTGGATTGATTGCATAAAGCTCCAGCGCGACCAAACCAAAAAGGTTGCCTTCCTTTCTTTATTTTAACCAAGCAAAACGGTTGATTCCCCCCTAACAAACACATCGCGGGTCTGTGCTTTGACTACCCTTTTCAGGTTGGTAAAAAGGACGACTCATGTTTACGGTCCAAATCCCTATTTTGACCCAAGCACACACACACACACACGTTAGACAACACAAACTCTTTCGTAGGGTCTTGTTTTTGGGGCGCCCCAGAATGGACTTCGGGTTTTTCCCTTTGGTCTCCCTTTGAAACCGTCAAACAACAGGCACCAATTCATGACAAGGCCGGGTCCTCTGGATTGCCCAGCGTAATCTGCCTCAATTTTTCCGCGATCGACTCGCTCGCTTTCTCACACGGCTTTCCCCGTCTGTTTTGAGGGTGCCCTGTTTTTGGAACATAAGGTGCCTGTGTCTGTTTTTGGCTGCCCCCCCAAAAAAGTGCGGTTGTTCTTTGAGTTTCCCTTTAAAACCACTCAAAACGAGGTACCCTGAAGCAAACAGACCCATAATGTTGGCCCAGGATTTATAAACCCCAGGGATCCCTTCACCAGGCTTGGGCAGTAAAGCCACACACCTTGCTGTGGGTGTCCTTTTTGTTGGGTTTTCCCCATTTTGGAAGGGCATGACGGCCCAGTCGTACGCATTGACCTCCTTTCACAAAGATACAAGGGTCAGTGGATGTCCATTTGAACAGTTGCCATTTCCGGGTGGTTTCCGTAGTTTTGGAGGCTCTAAAACGGTAAAATGGAGGAATGGCTGAGATATTCTCCATCTTGAGCGCCTGCGTGAATCCCTTTTAGCTCCTTTGGGCGTGAAGCAGGCGCAAAGATCCCCCCAGCTCTCAGATTCCGCACGCGAAAGGTCAAGTTGGCCCTTCCTCCCTCTCCCGTTGATGTACACGCAAAAAAAGAAGAAGAAAATAAACATGTCCGGGCACCACAGGATCCAAGCTGGACTGTGGAAGATACAGACTCTTTCTTCGTACGCGTTGTTTGGTTCCAAACCCATTTCAGTTTGGCGCCCTATTGGCTGCGCCTCCGGCGTTTTCGGACAAGCCATGGTTACACAAAGGGGACGTGTGCAACCACCCGGCCGCTTGGGCCATTTCCAGGTAACACGGCTCTCAGTCGAGGCCAGTGCTTCGACTTCACTGGCAGACTTCACTGGCAAGGCCTTAAGATGCCTTGTTCCAGTCTTCGGGGCGCTCTCAAAATGTTCCCCTGCCATTTTTTTGGCGTCCTTGCCAACCAACCAGACAAATCCCAAGCACATTTTCAACCAATTCCCAACCAACCGGGAAAAAACCCCAACCAACCAATAGATTCCCCTAGAAACTCCCAACCCAACCGCTTGGCCCATTCGGAGATGTTTGGATCCGAGCTGCGCCAGCTTCTGCAAGAAGAGTCCCGAGGTGTGAAGCTGCTTGTCCAGAGTGGCCTTGGTGTCCTCAGTCGCCACTTGCGCGCGTGAGAACCTTTGTGAGAACTTGGACGGCGGTGTTCCAAAAGTGGTGTCCATGTACCCAGCAAAAAGGAGGAGTCTCCGGTTTTGAGGATGAACTAGGTTGCACAATGAGCCATGTATGATGGCTGTTGCGCTTGGCACATGTCACGTGCCCATCTTTGACGCCAAGCCCTGAAGCTCTCACTACGACTACAAAACGAGCAAATTGCCAAGCGACCAGATCGCACTAATTCGCGGCAGAAATGATTTTGCATCCTCTGACAGCCTCGTCTGACTGGTGCCAGCTTTTGGCAAGGTTCGGCTTGACTTGCTTGGTACCGGCCCTTTTGTTGGGGGACAAGCATAGGTGTCCTTTTGGGGAAAATAGATGGCCCTGAGTTGATTGAACCACCAGCTAAACCAGGAATCGCCCTCTATTTTTTCAACCAAATCAACAAAAAGGACACCTATGGGGACAAGTCATCTGAGCCAAGCTGGCCCTATTCTTAGAGCCCGGGAGGCCAGGAAGGCGCAAAGGCTCCCAAGCCGAATGATCTCTGCAATGTCCCTTCCACAAGATGGACTTCCTTCAGATTCGGCAGCGGCTCAAAAAGGCAAAGACCAAAAAACTTGCGGTTTGCCCGCCCCGGCCCTTAAATTTTTCGAGCAGGCTCATCATCTTCTGCATATGCCCCCCACCCCCAAAAAAAAAGAAGAGAGAGGCGCAGCGGCTTTGTGTGGTGTTGGTTTTGGGCTTCCCGTTTAAAACCCCACCAAACACCGGAGGCAACTCTGCCCAAAGACGTCGATGTGGGCCAGTGCCGGGCCTTCAGGTGCTGCTGGGCCTTGGAGAGCCTCTCCTGGCGCTTTTCGGGGGCTTGGTACCCTAGGTCCTCCAGTAGAGAGGTTAGAATCAGTTGGAACCAACTTTCTTCTGCAGTCGATTTTAGTAGGGGACCCCTCCCCCAAAAAAGAAACTGTAAAAGGGCACTACTGGGGGACCTAGTTGTTTGGTGCCCTGAAGACCCTTGAGTTGGTACTCTGGGGTGATGGGACCTTTCGGACATGAGGCTTCAACAAATCAAAGGGGTGCTTCGTAGGATCCCGACTGCTGGGCATGGCGCAGGGTCGTTCCCTAAACCCCTCCAATCCCCTTGTGGTTCAACGTGGGCCCCAAAATCTGTACCAAGTCGGCTCATTCCCACTTTCTCACTTGGATTCTCTTGTCGAAATTGGTCCCAAAAGCCAAGCTTTCCACAACGGGTTGGCTTCGAGGAAATCAACGGTAAACCATCGCGTCAGTTGGTACCTTCTCCACATAAACCGCTTTCTCTTAGTTTTCTTGGCTGATCCCTTCTTGAAAGTTCAATGAAACACTTTGAATCCAGGCTCTGAAACTGTGATAAGGTGAGAAAGGCTTATCCCTTCTGCAGTGAGATATTTCAGTGATACACGACAAACTCTAGGCTCTGAACCACAGGTCCAGGGCTAGGAGCTGCCAAACCTGGAGCTGTGGAGCCCAAGACCTACATCTGGAGCCTCTCCTGAAGAAAGGACCCGCCTCGTTCCGCAGAAAATATGGTAGGTACCCCGTGCTTTTGCAGGCAAACTGGGGGAGCTTCGATTTCTCCCGATTTGGAAACAAACTCAAGTGCACGGCCAGTGCAAGCAAAAGTCCGTGACAAAGAGCACACTGCAGGTTGACATGAACCTCCAGAACCCGTTTGCCAACGAATCTCCTGTTGGGACGAGGACCGTCTTTTTGGGGCTCCATGTGTTTGTTTGGACTGAAGATCAAGTGTGTTGTTCAAGCTGTTGCAGGGCCCAAGCGTGCAGCTTTCACCTGTGGTGTTTGCTACTTTGAAAAGTGGATGGGCAAACAAGTTCATGCGCTGTACAGACTCCTCCTGCAAATGAACAAAGCCAACCAAACGACTCACAACGAACGCCCCGTCCTCGTAGGACTGCATGCTGCTCAGGGTCTCTTGCCTGGCGTCGACCCAAGGCCTAACTACTAATCCGCATTTGGGAAGTGGGTGCATCTTTTTAGGGCGGACCGCTAAAATGATTTTCGGTTCTCCCTTTGGTCTCCCTTTTGAAGCCAACCAAAAGGGTACCAACTCAATCCCGAAGTAAGGGATCTTCATAAGCTCGGTTTCCCTCCTAATTGAGATGGAACATCTTTTCTGCGGTAGCCCCCTTTCTGTCATGCCAAGGGATTTCCATGTCCGACCACACCAAAGACTTAGTTTGCAGTATTTGGCCCTAAGACTGTTGGGGGAGTGTTGTCCTAGTCAACTGGTCAACTGGTTGCCTGGCATAGCCCCTGGGGGAGTCGACCAGCTGCAGACCAAGCTGCAAGACTTTCTGCTGCGACAGCAGCGCATTGTGTCTTTTAACCTTAGACGGGGCTCTCATTAGCTGCAACATGGACCCTGCATACATGGCACCCCCACCCCCTGGTGGGTAAGAGAAACCACTGGACTCAGACAGAACTCTAGAGTGAACACCTCTCTCAACCCAACCCCACACTCAGCTTTTCTCCTGGTTTGGGTTGCCCGGCTTGGAGGTGTGGAGGTTGATCCAAGATGTGAGGTGCAGCCCAAAACCTACAAAGCACAACTTACTGCGGGGTGTGTCTGTGTGTGCGAACTACGTTGCCCTCGTTGCAAGGCATCATGGCAGAGTCCTTCAAACGCGTCTGTTAATGAAACAAAAGCTGTGCCAATTGGTCAGGTGTGGAACACAACCTTGATAGGGGATCAAATTCGAACATGACCCATCGCCGTTTGAAATTCCTGGGCAAATCAAAGACATGTCTCTTTTCTTGAGGGTCAACTCGGAAACCACCAGGAAAACCCGAAAAAGCGTGCTTTTCGTTCGCACCCCGATTTTCAGACACCTCCCCATCTCCACGTCGACCAAACAACTAGACCACGGTTGGCCCGAAAGCAGAACATCGCAAGCGAGGTCGGCCCAACGCTGCAGGATGCGTTCTTTTTCCCTACACGAAGCATTTGTGAAGCAAGCGCGAGACAGCACCAGGCAAGGTGCTCTGCGCAAACTGGTCGGTGCAAGTTGGTCTGCGCAAGTTGCTCTACGCAAGTTGCACTGTGCAAGTTGCTCTGCGCAAGTTGCTCCGCGCAAGTTGCTCCGGCAATTGGTCCCTGCAAGTGGCTCCCTGCAAGTTGCTCTGTGCAAATTGCGCTCCCTGCAAGTTGCTCTGTGCAAGCTGCTCTGTGCAAGTTGCTCTGTGCAAGTTGCTCTGCGTAAGTTGCTCTGCGCAAGTTGCTCTAGGCAAGGCGCTCTGCGCAAACTGGTCGGTGCAAGTTGGTCTGCGCAAGTTGCTCTGTGCAACTTGCTCTGCGCAAGTTGCTCTGCGCAAGTTGCTTTAAAATGCAAGTTGCATCTTGCGACGCCCGCCCGCGGACCAGGGAGGAATCGAACCCGCGACCCGCCGGTTCCGGGAGCAGGCGCGCGAACCACGAGACAACTCCCGAGGACCAGTTCGAACAACAAAAGTCGCAAAAAACCTCGAGTTTTTGCACCTCGACCACGCCGATCCCCGCAGAGGGTTGCGCGAGCACCGCAGAAATCGCAAAAAACCATGAGTTTTTGCACCTCGACCACGCCGATCCCCGCAGAGGGTCGCGCGAGCAGGTTAAACATCGCAAAAAACCATGGGTTTTTGCACCTCGACCACGCCGATCCCCGCAGAGGGTCGCGCGAGCAGGTTAAACATCGCAAAAAACCATGGGTTTTTGCACCTCGACCACGCCGATCCCCGCAGAGGGTCGATTTTCGTGTAGTGTCGTCGGCACTACCCCGCCGCCCTAAGAAGAGATTTTAACTCCTCGCAAGTCAATTGCACTTGACTCCTTGCACTTGCAACTTGCACTTGACTCCTTGCTTGTTTCAAGGAGTCATTGCAAGGAGTCATTGCAAGGAGTCATTGCAAAGAGTCATTGCAAGGAGTCATGGCAAGAATTCATTGCAAGCAGTCATTGCAAGGAGTCATTGCAAGGAGTCATTGCAAGGAGTCATTGCAAGGAGTCATTGCAAGGAGTCATTGCAAGGAGTCATGAGAGCCATTGCAAGTTGCAAGGAGCCAAGTGCATGGAGTCAAGTGCAAGTCGCAAGTGCACGGAGTTAAGTGCAAGTTGCAAGTGCAAGGGGCCAAGTGCAAGGAGCCAAGTGCAAGGAGCCAAGTGCATGGAGTCAAGTGCAAGTTGCAAGTGCATGGAGTCAAGTGCAAGTTGCAAGCGCAAGGAGTCAAGTGCAAGTTGCAAGTGCAAGGAGTCAAGTGCAAGTTGCAATCCTTGCCATGACTCCTTGCAATGACTCCTTGCAATGACTCCTTGCAATGACTCCTTGCAATGACTCCTTGCAATGACTCCTTGCCATGACTCCTTGCAATGACTCCTTGCAATGACTCCTTGCAATGACTCCTTGCAATGACTCCTTGCAATGACTCCTTGCAATGACTCCTTGCAATGACTCCTTGCAATGACTCCTTGCAATGACTCCTTGCAATGACTCCTTGCAATGACTCCTTGCAATGACTCCTTGCAATGACTCCTTGCAATGACTTTCATGATGATGATTCCTTGCAATGACACCTTGTAATGACTCTCATGAGAACAACTCAAGTGAACCCAGCGGAAGAACCCTTCGCCATGCTTTCGGGAAAAATCCAATTCCCCGGCGCGCGGGATGACTCTAAGCCGCCGGGCGCCGTCCCGCAGGCTCTGCAGGAAGAGGCTTTTCAGGCGCTGGGACGTGGCCTCGAAGCGAGAAATTCGTGTCCCGGACCCCCAAATTTAACCTGGTGGGGGGGGAACCGTTGGCCATCCAAAAGTCGTTCCGAAAACGGACTTTCTGTTGGGGACCTGGATTCCAGGTTGCGAAACCCCCTGATGGTCTTTTTCATGAGAAAACAAAAAAACATCGCCTCAGTTTACCCTCAATGTCTTGCCCCCTTCAGCGGGCTGAAGAGAAACATCGAGAGTTGGGAAAACGGCTGTGAGTTTACACCTCGGGTGCCATGGAACCCAGAGGCCCGTTCCCGAGTTCGAAAGGAGCAGCTTTCGTCTTCCACTGGGGGGTTCCCCCTGGCTTTTGTGAGGGTTGATGCTAACGGGACACTTCTCAACCAACACGCAGAAAAAAGGGGACAGAGGAAGCAACACACCTGGAAGCTGGAGGTCTCGGCCACATCTGTACTCCAAAAGAGCTTGGAGTTTGTTTCATGCTTGGTCTTCCCGAACATGAACAATAGTCGTGGAGGAGACCCCAAGTCTCGTGGGGATCTTCCCAAAAAAAAACACCACGACGAAAACCGCGTCTTGGGGGGCAAGTGTGGTTGGGCCCTAGGAACAGTTCTATTTTTAAGGGCCGCCCGGAACAATGCCAAAAATTCTGTTCAGCAAACTGAGAGTTCGGAAAAGGTCGACTTGCACCCGGGGTGGTTTGTTTTCCCAACCTCTGTTCAAGAACATCGTTCATCCCAACCCCGGAACTGAAAACCGGAGCCGAAAACCGGAGCACGTGTTCGAGGATTTTCGCCCAACGCAAGCCGTCAGCTGGAAGCCCTCAGCCCTATGAGGGTCCCATCTGACATGTCCCGGCCCGAAAGCAAACTTCACGACTGCTCCCAAACCGTCTGCGTGCAGGCAAGGCGAAGAAACGGCTCAGAGGGGGGTCCACAAAACCAGAACAACGCCCATCATCTGCGTCGATGCCCGGCATGGCCTGACCCTGGCGCTTCATGTCTTTCACACCCTCCGAGAGCACTCCCAGCAGATTCTCCGGCTCAGGCTCCTCAAGTCGCTGAGGCCAGGAAAACAAAACATGTGTTTGCGTGTTTGCGTGTTTGTGTTTGTGTGTGTGTGTGTTCGTTTTGGTTTGAGGGTACCTGTTTTAGGGTCGGTTTTTGAGGGAGACCAAAAGAAATCCGCCTTATTTTGAGGTACCCTTGAGAACAAGCCGATGTGCAAAAGGCAAAGAGTCAGGTCAGTATTGCCGAGTTTTGATCTGGACGATCAAATATGGTCTAAGACCTGTGAAAGAACATCTCTGTTGTTGTTTCCTTTTTGAAAGGTGCCATCTTGACGCAACAAGACGGGTACACAACAAGTAAAATCTGTCCCGATTCGGTCTACACCATAGAAAATTGTTTTGTTTGGAGACCCGATGGCGAATCTCTGTCAAAATCAACTTTTCTTGAAACCCTGTGGGCATCATCAGGGATTTGTATCCACCAACCATTTTGGAGGGGTTTTCCCCATTCAAATTCATAGCCCTGAGCTGTTGGCAAGTATAGACGCCTTAGATACCAATGAACATGGACGACTTGTCTTGTGCTTTTCATTCAGACTCACAGCCTCAATGACAGCTCCGGCGTGTTGGTTTGAATTCACATACTTGGAATTCCCATTTCCCTCCCCCGAAAACAAGAACGCAGCTGCGTCTTCAAGCTCCGAACGATTTCGAGGCTTCTTTGCGGGGCATCGATCCGCCGCCACGTTGGTCAGGTCTTAAAACTGTCCGAGTAGCAGCGGTCTTGTTACTCCATGTCGCCCGAGAAACGGGGCCCCTTGAATCGCAATGACCCCTTGAACCCATTGAAGTACCCAAGTTCCCAAGTATGAATTGAACTCCCGGGGCGAAGAATGACTCCCCCAGGTTCCCGATGACCCCCCCCCCGATCTCTCGCAATGACACCCGGCCCCCACCCCGTCCCCCCTCCCCCCATAGCTGTTGCCGGCAGGCCTTTGATGGCTCCTCCGTCAAGCCGGACGAAGGTCGGCGGCTTTGATTTCTCGGGCCTTCCAAAAGATGGTTCTAAGATGGCGCTATTTCTTCCGCAAGCAACCAGGGAGAACCTGCCAAATGCCCCCCAAATCCCGACAAAGTTTGGGCGCTGCTCACTTGAGGCCGAATCCCGGGATATTCGCAGGTGACCTAGTAGTGCCTTCCATTAAACTGGGCTGTTCAAAATGGAGGGTTCGCCAATCCTAATCCATGATCCCTATAGGAAAGCCACAACGGGGACCGATTCCTTGCGTAACCCCAGGTAAGGATCTTGCGGATTACCTTGGAACAGCCCAGTCAAAGGTGGCTTCAAAGCTCAGCTTTTGACCGCTTACCATGCCATTTCCTTCGAACCCAACGGGTCAAGCGCCCGAGATTTTCGGGGTGTTTTACAAACCTCCCCTGCCCGAAAATGGGTGGGGCTTTCCTTTTGGTGTCCATTTAAGACCAGACAACAATTGGGGTGCCCTCAAAAACCGCATCTGTTTTGGGATACCCATTCTCTTTGCACCAAATTCGCGAGCTCCCTGGTAAATGGAAACAAAGACTCAAACCTGCGGTCCCCGGTGGCTTGATTCTAGCCCATACGCACATTGTTTTGAGGCTAAGCTTTTTGTTGGTGTTTTGAAGGAAAACCAACAGGATAACCGACATCCGTGTGGGGGGGGGGGGGTGCTCTTAAAAAAAAGACACACCCATGTATGAACTTTGAACCCCAACATGAAGCTCTATGAGCTTTCAGGTTGTTCGTTTGGCTCAATCATACATGTGCTTCTCAAAGGTCCCCTGTCGGATTGGTTGGAAAACAAAAAGCGCAATTTTTGAGAAAAGCTCACTCTCTGTTTGGACGGGCAGAAACAAGTGCAAGCTGTTTGTTTACCACTAAAATGGTCTTCCCCAAAACGTTTGAAGTCCAAAAACCCAGTGAGGGCACACCCATGTAGCATCTGTCTTTCTCACGTCACGAGATTCCTCAGTTGGCAATTTTTCCGGGCAGTCCTCTTGCACCTCCTCACTGATGGAGAGGAATGACAGGGCCTCCTGGGCCAAAATTTTGGCAGATTTTGCTCAGCCTGGACGCCAATGACTTGCGGCCCATGTTTGGATACATGGGCAGCTCGTTTTTTGTTGTTTTTTGAGTTGGTGCCCAGTTGATGTTTTTCACAGCGACACTGGGACACCAAAAGGAACACCGTAATTTTGGGGGTCACCTGCTACACCTGATGGTCAAATGCAACCTGCCGATTGGAACGCTCCCTGAATTTGACCGGGGGTGGTGCAACTCGCTCGTGAAATGAGGAGGAACCCCATCTCGATGGTTTGCTAAATCATTGGAACTGGCCACCAGCGCCGTCTACCCTATGGTTCAACCCTCACTAAAAGCTGCCTTGATGATACTCCCTAGGCTGACAATGGGTGAGACGGCGTGCGCGGCAATCAAGTCTAGGTGTGCCCTGTTTGAGGAAGCTCTGTTGTGAATGGTGTCTAGTTGAGGGAAACAAATTGCAACCCGATTTTGGACACCCTTCTGTAAAAGGTCGAACCACCATGTTGCCCTTCCACCAACAAACATGGAAGCGCACACTCCCCCTTGTAAAGACTACTTTCCGTCTCGCAAGCGTCCCTGTGCGCTTCTATGTTTGTTGGTTCAGCGCCAAATCTGCGGGCAACACCGAGCTGTTGCTGTTGCCGTTGCTGTTGGTGGCGGTTGTTGCTGCTGTTGCCGGCTGAAACTCACGAAATGCCTGAAGTAGCCTCATCAGTGGGAGGGCTACTTCAGGGGGAGGTTCCATTTATCTAGCATTCCCCATATATAAAAGGAACAATGGGTGACCATACAGGAGATCTCCAGAAGTGTGACCCCTCCCGCAAGTGTTATGTTTAAGGGAGTGGGGATGGAAGAAGCAGAAGAAGAAGAAGAAGCTCGGTTGTCCTTTACCAGAAATAAAAGGCTGACCTTCCGGCACCTTTTCTACAAATTGACCAGACTGGGAAAACCAAAAGGTCCAAAGGTCCGCTTTGGGCAAGTGAGGAAACCAGCCCAGGTCCTTCTCTGTCTGCTCCGCGCGGCGCTGCGCGATATCGAAATAGGAGGCCACCTGAGTCGGGCTTTGAGCATCCAAAAAGCGGCCGAGCAGACATGATTCGGTCAGGGATTAGAGAGAGCCCAAGCATGAAGCCAAAAGGAAATTGTTAACATGAAGCTGCAATGGTTGGGGAAAAGATGGACTTTGGTCCATGGTTTGGGCGACACCTGCAGATCGCCTCCCCTCCTCCCCCTCTCCTCTCCTCTCCCCCCACCTCTGCCCACCCTTACCTCCCTCGTACCTTACCGATTCTCCCCGCCTTGCGCTTCTGCTTTGCCTCCTCCGTCTCTTTCTGCTCCGCCGAGGCCTCCAAATCCAAGACCTTCAGCTCAGCCTGCGCACGTCCGCACGTCCTCCCAGCACCTTTCCCCCTTGCTGGGGCAGGGAATGAGTTGGAACAACCCCCCTTTCCAACCATCCCCTACGGTTTCCTTTAAGGTTGGTCTTCCCTGAGCACTGGCTTGGCGGCTTGGCTTGACTGCTTGGCTTTGTCCCCCTTGAAACCAAAGTGAAACGTGGGGGGGGGAGGTTCTGATCTGGTGCGATAGGCAGGGAATGACTTGGAATGACCCGGAGAAAAACCGTCTCCTCAGGTTCATTCCCAACACCCGGAATTCCATTCCCTACTGAGCACCAGCAAACTAGTTGGTGGCTGGGTGGTTTGGCTTGGTTTGGACCTTGGTACTCTCCTCATTTCACTTCAAAGGAACTGGGGTTCAAACTGCCAAACCATCAATCCAACCCCACAATTCAGCGCTACCTGATTGTTTGGGTGTGTCGTTTTGACCAAAGGAAAGCCAAACGAGAAACCAATTTGGCGGGTCCACAACTTTGAGAAAAATGCAGGGCTGTGCCCAAAAGGCTTGGCATGAACCAAAATTGGTGGCTGAAACAGACAGGATCCGGGTCCGAAATCAGATTGATTGCTCGGCTTGAAGACGACCTTGAACAACCACCCTGTGACGCCACCCTGTGACGCCTGTGGGTTGGAGGGTGAACCCCTGCCGCCTCCTTGCTGGCCCCTAGTTGGAGGAAACAGGGGGCAGGGGGGGGGGCAGACGCCGCCAACGCGCCTTGTTCAGGTCGGTGCTCTCCAGCGTGTCGGAGAGGAAGGCTTGCACAGAGGAGAGTTGCTCCTGCGTGGTTTCCCAAAATGCCCACGGCACCATGGGTTTTCCCCAACAAAGAAAAACGGCACTGGTGGCGCTGTGTCCTGTGAGTGCCTGTGAGTGTCCGACATCCCCGCCTGAATTCTTTTCACCTCCGACTGCCGCACGGCGATCGCCTGCGAGATTGCAAGCGCTGGCTGCCCCCAGCGAACGGGGAAAATGCCACTTGAGCACGTTGGGTTCTACGAAGATGGCGATTAAATCATTGAACAGTGCAGGGTAAATGTCAAAAAGGGGGGGAGAGGGCAACGTGACAGGTTTCTGCTTAGTTTCCCCTCAAACAGATCTAAAAAAGAGCCCTCAAAACAAACCACACACACACACATATGTATATATATATATATATACAAATGCGCAGCCCGCCCCCCGCCCCCCCCCGGAAGATCTACCTTTTCTGCGCCATCTGCACTAATCGAAACCATCTGCGGGCACAAACCAATTGCATGTCACAATGTACCATGTTCCATCTGCAAGCCCAACAAATCAGCTCTGTCCGTGCTATGTCGCATCTGCAAGCCCGACATAGATGCATCCTGCCTATCAAATAAGACTCAACTTCCAATTCTAATTTATATGAGAATCATGTGGAAAGAAATTCAAATCCAAATCCGATTTGCAAATGGCAATTCAGATTAGACTCCTTCCCGATTAAATCCCGCTCAAATTGTTTTAAACTTAAAGTCATATTTGGATAGGAATGCTTTTGCCCCCTCATTCAAAACAGACCAAGTTCCTCATTCTTTCTTGTTATATTCTGTTCAAACTCTATTTAAATCTGAATTGAAAGTCCTGGTTGGCATAAGGAGCCTTATAAGGAGCCTTGAGAGGCTTCATAAGGAGCTTCATTCAATCGCAGGTTGTTGCGTGTAATTCCTGTCTGTGTTCTGTTGCGTCTGCAAACTTAAATCAACTCCATTCTGTTTGAAGCTAGAACTTGAAAGAACTTTCATCGCTACTCAGTTCTACTCAAATTCTACTTAACTTTAAATCGAAATCCGTTTGGAAAAGGGTTATGATCGAATTACGTCCTTACTACATCAAAGTGTTAACATGGAATTCATGGTTGGAAAGTCCTTCTTCGAATTATCATTCTGAACTGTTTGTGTCATTAACTTCTGTTCCACATGCTTTTGTAATCAACATTCTATTCGGTATAAGGAGCCTAAGACGCCTCATAAGCAACTTCACACGCAGTTCTAAAAGGATTTGCACAAGGAGCGTCAAAAAGGAGCCTAAAAAGGATCGTTTTGGAGAGCCCTACAAAGAGCTTTGTCTTTTTTACCCTCGCTGCGCCCCATATCCGCCACTCCAAAGCGCCATACACGTTTCGTGACACTCTGTCTGTAAGCCACTTTTGATATCATCAGATTCTTCAAACACTTCGCTTTCGAACTTCTTTGCTCGTCTCCACCATCATCCACCACCTTCTTCTTCGGAGCCATTGCTCTAGACGCGCACGCTACGTTCAAACAAACGAATGGTGATCATTTCGAAAGTAAACGGCAATACTCATGAGTATCTCGCGAGTCATAACCCCTATAAAAAGTAACTCACTCCACATCGCACCGCACATGAGCCAAAATGGCTACGGAGCCGCATTAGAAGCTTTAAAGCGAGGCTTCGCACCGAGCCTCGTAAGGAGTTTTTAAGGAGCCTTGTAAGGAGCTTTATACAGAGCCTTGGTGAGGCTTGAGTCAAGAATTTAAAGCCAGCTCTGCCCTTATATTGAATTCTATTTAGATTCTAATGTTTGTTTAATCAAAGTCTTATTCTGTAACAGATTAGCCTTTTCAGTCTGATCTAGACAGAGGTCGCTGACCGCGCTGAAAGAAAAGAGAAAAAGGTTCAGCCAAAGACGTCGAATGCGGCAAGGCGTCTGCATGTAACCTTCAGCAAGAACATAAGAGAGAGAAATTACAACAGAACAGCCGAACTTGATGAGCAATGCCAACAAACAAACAACTCAGTGTTTTGGTTGGTTTTCCGAAAGTTGCAGAAGGAACCCCAGAGATCAGATCCCAGCACCAACATCCGATTCTTCCCCACCAGCTGAAGGCTACGGCCTGCGGTTTGGAGCAGCTTCAGGGGGTCCAAAGCTTCGGGGCTGTTGGGCAAGCCATCTGGGCTGCTTCTGCCTCTGGAACCCAAGCCTCCCCAAACACCTGGCCAATTTTTGGGCAGGGAGCCCCAGCTTTCAGCCCTTGTGGGGGGGGGGAAAAAAAAACATAAACCACATATTTTGATCGAGTCGAACTCCCATTGGTGCCCTCAAGCCAAGAGACACGTCTTGCGACACGTCGAGCGACACGTCTTGCGACACGTCGAGCGACACGTCGAGCGACACGTCGAGCGACACGTCGAGCGACACGTCGAGCGACACGTCGAGCGACACGTCGAGCGACACGTCGAGCGACACGTCGAGCGACACGTCGAGCGACACGTCGAGCGACACGTCGAGCGACACGTCGAGCGACACGTCGAGCGACACGTCGAGCGACACGTCGAGCGACACGTCGAGCGACACGTCGAGCGACACGTCGAGCGACACGTCTTGCGACACGTCGAGCGACACGTCGAGCGACACGTCGAGCGACACGTCTTGCGACACGTCGAGCGACACGTCGAGCGACAGGTCGAGCGACACGTCGAGCGACACGTCGAGCGACACGTCGAGCGACACGTCGAGCGA